TAAAGTGGAAAGATAATATTTGATTATTGAAGGTTTAAACACGTGATTTTAATACATTTATATAAATTCACGTACGCAGAAGACTTATTGTTATCGGTTAATCAGCTTTGAAACGGATCGATACAAATAGAAATGCATTTCCGTTAAACACGAATGTACATATAAGCTTAGTCTTTAGGGACGAAGCGTAGCGTTACCAACTTTTGCAATGCCAAACATTTTCTCATTTCTAGGTCGTTCGTATATACCTAACCCCGTATATAGAGTTTCCCTAGCATAGTGTTGCCCACATTCTAATTAATATCAGCAGAAGGCTTTATTAACGAATAGTGTTTCCTCCTTGTAAAAAGCATGTGTTAATGGGTTTTTTTTCTGCCATTTATTTGAGACTGAAAATTTACCACGAAATTAAAGATGCGCCTGCTGGCTCCAGAACAGACATCCTTAGTGCGTGATCTTAAGAATCGACTTATGTTGGGCCCAGGAGAACCTAGTGTTTTTTCTTTATTCTTCCTTATGAATAGTGCTTTGTATACAAAGACATTAGGTTTGGGTTTATTTGGTTAAGCATCTTGATAACAGCTAAGGTCATTTAAGGACGTGCCTCTACGTACATAAGTCAAGTGTGTGTGTGAGAGGCGATATGTTGGTGATTTTGCTTTCTTGCGAAAGCGTAAATCTGATGCAGACTTTTAGCGTACAACCTCACTGAAATAATATGCTGAAAGCACCCAGAAGATTATGTAAACCAGTCACTTTACACTGATAACGGGTAAACCATTAGTTGCACTTAACCTAAATGCTAAAAATTTTGCAAGGCATAACAACTACCATTTTGAAGGACTTCGGCGTATCTTGTCCAAGACAATGAAATATGTTTAAGGACCATCGTACCACTGCCGAAAACGGTAACTAAGTAACTAACATGTCGTTTCCCGGCATGACTATAGGTTTGATAAATCATTTGTGAGAAAGAAGCCATACCTTGTGACGTTCAGGAGAAATAATAAAATGACATTCAAAAATTTGTAATCAACGACAATGTTCCGAGTGGAAAAAAAATCAGCGGGGCTAGACTGAGACTCGAACACTTGACTTCGATTTATAATGCTATTGCTCTCACTAATTTGGCCACTTGGTCAACGGAAGTGCCTGATCCAACTTTGCTACAGTTCTATCAAAACGGAAGTTAAAGGGAGGTTACTGTATTTACGAAAAACCGCAGTGAAGTGGGACAGGAATCCTTAAATTAATTAAAGACGTTACCATATCACTCATTATATCAATCGGGAACCGTCGGCACCTTCCGTAAACGCGATGGAAAGTGCCGACGTTTCCCGATTATTATTATACACGGGGCATATGGAAGAGTTATCTCCCATCACAAAGTTAGATGTATAATAAGTAGATATTTGATAATCAAGAGTTGCAAAAATGTTGTCAAAGCATTCTTGTGAACCTGTCTAATGTTTTCATCAATCAGTCAATCAAAATGATAATCACTGTATACAAATAACCATATTTACCAGGTTTCTTATAGCAGAACTCTTTTGAAAATGATATTCTTTCAAAGTTAGTCAGCATATACACCCTTAAGGGTCCAAGTACCACTGCCAGAAACAGTCACTAGAAAATCCTAAACATTTTATCGGCTTTAATATATCATTCCTGAAAAGAAACACATTGCATAACGGTACTTTTATGAAAAAAATGATCAAGATGAAATAAACATCAACAACAATGTATTGAGTATAAAAATTGAATCCTTAGTCCTTTGAATTACACTATGGTCGCCCCAATCAACTGAGTTTACTCGATCGTTGATCGATCCCACGTCGAGTTCCTCTATAGTTGTACCAAAAACCAAATTAAGGACAAATTTATGTATTTACAGGACTCGTACAGACATAGAAAATTACTTAGCTTTGAGTAAGATCCTTAGAAAGTGCTTAGAAACAAATAAGTCCTTGAAAAGTGCTAGAGTTTATTTCTGATTGTCCTTGAAAGCGTGTGTTTTTTTTACATAAACAAAGTTTTCAATAAGATTCATCAGTTTGGAAATATCTTATAGCTTGGCAAAGGGACCAGTCGGTCTCAGAATGCTTAATACGTACAATGTTTGTGTAGAAAGTAAAACTTTGATATTATACAAAGTTTTGTTATGAATCTTTTAATGAAGCCTGCTGGTGACAGATAACTGAAAACTAATATACAGTCAAAAATTGAGCTACATGCTATTGACGAGGACCTTCGTAAAAAAAGAAAAAAGAAAGACAAGGAGATTTTGAAAAGATATGTAAAGATACTTGTAAATCAAAAGGCAGGCATCTCTCCGATGTTTTGGCCTTACATTGGAACAAGGATCTTTAAGAAAACAAAATTGATCTCGTTCTTGGAATCCTTAACAACTTCAAAATTAGCATGATCTATAATTATCTACAAACCACCCGAGCGTTATCATTAAATGCATTTCGTGTATGATGCATCTTTCAATCCACGTGTGATTTCATGCATGAGCAACACAAAGAGGTAGAACCAAGTATCAAAACACCCTGAAGATAGTTATTTTCGCAGAAAATCCATATTGAGCGCATGTATCAGAAAACAGGACCACTCCAAATTTCTACTTAAGTAACGTCATACCGTACGCCTTTTAATCCTTGAGGCAATGTTTCGTGGGGGCATTTTACAGATTGTAAACGGCTTATTCGAAGCATGAGGAATAAAATAGGACTTTATTTTCAATTTCAGTAATATCATACATCGAATCGTTTTTTCGGTACTGTTTAAAATTGAGAAGTTAAAAAAATTCAAGTGTCTTTTTCAAGGTGTTTGGAATTTTGTTTGACTTTGTACACACTTCCTGTTATTCTTATGGAAAATATCAATATCAAAATTTGTAATTCACATAGGTATTGAGTGGATTTGTTTCATGTACATTGCGGCAATGAATAGCAATAGCTGATCTACATATCCTGTGGAGCGCGTTCGCTGAAATTATTCAAACGCAAATCACGTGTGTTCTAATGAAGGTAGTTGCATTTGGGGAGCAGTGTGGTAAGAATATGTCGTATCTTATGACGTCACAAGGAAAACAAGTGAATGACGTCATATTTCAGAATACATTTGATCATTATTGCGTAATTCGATAACGTTGTATCAACTCTAAAGACAATGACAATACCGTGATATCTTTAATAATTAGAAACAAAAGGCCGGCTACAGAAAGAATGAACCTGCTGTTTCACACTGCATGATCGTATGAAATGACTAATATGGACTCTCTGCAGAGTTGTATGTCTTATGGTTTCTTTAGTAATAGGACACTGAAGCAAGCATAATTGATCTACTGTCCCCATTGCAACACTAGGATCTTTATCGTTTCTTTTCTCACGTCTCTAATTATACTTGCTGGTGATTGGTGATCTTTCCACAGGCTTCCGTCTTTATATGACCCTTTAACGGAAATAAAGCCCCAAGCAATACAAAGTGTCGTTATAGCGTGGTTTTGCTCACAGGTGCTTGATAATGAATCTGTTACAGTATACCTATATTTTGACCTAAAGTGATATACTCAGAGTATTATTACTCGTTTTTGGGGGTATGTAACTCCCCTGGGGATGGCATTTTTACCAAAAGTAACGGGGGATAGATTAACTGTCGGTAAAAACGCCATCCCAATGATGGTAAATACCCCCTTGAACGTGCGATATTATTTTTGTCTGATCGCATCAGTTTTTATCCAAAAATGGCTATACTGTAACAAAATGTTCAGATCCCAGTGGTTCTGCATAGTTACAACAAAACCTTCTTTAATGAAATGGAAACAAGTACAAGTTCGTGTTGATCACGTTAATAATAATATTTATATATAAATCATACGCATTGTTGTTATTTGGCGACAAATGCGATTCTAGTTAAAGTATATGTGTCTGGACTCCAGGCTCCGGAAAACATATATACTGATGTGCTTTTTAATGATGTGACTCAAGTTGTGTTGGACAGAAACATAACTCTTGGTTGTCCGACATACTAGATTACTTTGTCCTTTGGCACGTGCGTCCTTAAACACATGCGTCTATGTATCATCCATCAAGCATTATTTCCCCATTATAACGTCTGAACTAGGTAAGGAAGGGGTTGGGTAAGGATTTGGAGATGGGAGAGTAAGGTGTATGGAAGAGAAAAAAAGGAAAAAGGTCGTCGGGTCAATCTTGTTCAGCTTTCTTTAGTTTCCAGAGTTGTGTGGTCGGCGGGATTTCCACTCGGAACTCCTCGGGTGACTCTTTCCCTTCGATGGAGCGTAGCGGAGTAATCCGAGGTAAGCCGATTGGTGGGATTTCAGGACCCTGCATCACTACCCTACCTCAACGGTGTGTCAGTGTTCTTTCAAACTCTGACTTCCCCTCTTCATTTTATGAGTGTGTGTGTGTGGTTTTTTTTCTTTCTTACATTTATTTCTCATTTCGAATCCCCTTGTCCCCAGATTAACATATGTTTTCTCTGTTAAACCTGGGAAAATTACGAAAGCAAGGACAGCATGTTATTTTATATCGTAAATATGTTGAAGAGTTAGGGAGTAAAAAGTACAAAAACTACAGCAGACAGCAGGTTAAATTGAAAATTTCATGTTCAGTGATTAGTGCGGTCCAGACCAGCATAGCAACAACAGGCGACACCATACATTGTGTATACGTGTATATACTATAGCTACAAATGTTGGTATTAGTTTTTATGTCAAACACAGATTAAACAAAAACAAAACTGGCATTATATACGAGCCATGCACTAAAAAAACCCACGACAATAACAAAATTACAACGTTACGTCAAAAAAAAAAAAAAAAAGTGACGAAAAATCTAAATTTCAGACATTTTTCATTCATCATGCAGACTGCAAGTTGATGTGGTCTTCAGCGAGACGTGATGAGAAATTTCCAGTGGCATGCGATTCAGAGAAACCCAACAGATAAGAAAAAGGATAGAAAGTCAGTTACTGACCTTGTCCTTAAACTTTAACCTTTGACCTTTTCCTAATATGGAAGTTTCCTTGTCCAGGTGTATCCAAGACAACGGTGTGAGCACGTGACTGACGTAGAAACGGCGGGTGATCAGCTAGGATTCTTGATTTCAGGCATGCGCTAAGAAAATAAAAGATAATTTGTAATATTTTTCTTGGTGCATACCTAAAATCAAGGATTAAATTCTCTAAACCGCTTCCGGTGATTTCCGGTTATTCTCGGTTATATCCGGTGATTTCCGGTAAGTCTAGCAAAACAAAGCCTCATATCTACACAAAAAAATCTGTGAAAACAATAAACACAACACAACAACACAGATACAATATCATCGTCGTGACAATCATCGACACGATCTTTGTTACATCAAAACTGCTTTAGACATCGGGGACAGTCGTCTCCTCGCTTCTGGCGTCTTCATTGAAAGGATTCTCTTGTTCCCAACGATTTCATGGCTTTCATTAAATGTAACTGGATTGATGTTTTTGATTATTTCATTATCATTTAATTATTTATTAAGTGGCCTTGAACACCTCAGGGACAAAGAGACAAATCTGGTTAGCTTGAGAAATAGTATTCGTCGTATTGTGAAATTGACATTTTTTTAGTATGGGTATGATGGCTTGGGCTGGGATGAGGATGGAAGAAAAGAAGTTGTTTAAAATGCGAATTTTATAATAATAACAAGCGTGTACAATGTATATCTATATCATGAAAGTGAGGAGAGTATTTGTCTCCATTAGCAGTAAGTTTTACCTCCTAACGAGGGAGTGTAACCTCATGTTACAGCAATCCTATTTATGGAGTTTCTTTTGATAGAGTTGGAAGAGACAATGTTCTGCTATAATAGATGAGATATAAAGCAGTGTTCTTGTAGCGATTTATTTATATCTTGGGGTTATCATTAATGTAAACGAATTTTGTGACGGTCAGGTATGTTTCGGAATCATACTTACTCTAACACAACATGAACTTTCACGGATAATCACTTAAAAATACAGAATTTAAAGTAGTTTTTTTTATGTCAGTTTACCAGAAAATAGCACAAGAAAATCGTTGGCAATTATAATGGAGGTATTTTACAAACATTTGTAAAACAGACACCATCGTTGTGATATATACGTGAATGTTTTCTTAATCCGAAATGTTTAAAGCATTTTATGATACTGAAATTTCCGTTTATTTGTAGAAAGAAGCAAAATTATAACGAGCCAATGATATATAATGCAAAGGTCAATTCCCAATGACGTCATCATAAGGCATTGATGACGTCATTGCAGTTACTACATATATTTCGTTGGGGGAATGTGACCTTTTCAATCGTGCATCATATTCTGTAGAATCTTCGGTTTTGATGTCGGAAATATATAGATATGTGTGCCGAATCAATATCTTCAATAGGAACGATGTCATGTTGGTCTATTTATAGTCAGTGACAAAAGTATAAGTGAATCCTAGCTATCAGTCTTCTCACAAAAATATATTATATTCATTATCACAACATAAAATCAATATTTAATTATGACTATGATTCATATCCTGTTTCACGTGTTTCAATTTCAATTAAAGTTTGATTTGATGAAATAATCTATTACATTTCTTGATACAATTCTTCATACTAACATTGTCTGCGCGTATGAAATTGTGTATTCTCCAACGCCGTCTTTCTAGTATCAAGCCGCCAAAAATACAACAGAAAAATGCTGATGTATTTTATCATTGAAAGTTTGACAAAAATAAGGTGAAAGAAATAATAAAAATCGTAGAATGATATTTTTGTACTCAGAATAAGTTATTTCCTACATCGCCAAAAAGAACGAATAGTCAACGAGGGACTATATTTTTTTACATTCCTTGATACGTTTAGTACTTGCATTAAATCGGTATTGCCTATGAACGCCAACTGAAATCAGTTCAATGCTTTAGGGTATTTATTGCCAACTGTGACAAGTTTGCTCCTGCTAAACTGGAGTTATCATCTCATAACATGACTAAAATAGAAAGTTATTCCATAGATATTTACGACATAACGTTTCTTTTTCGTTGACCAGTATAGGTCTCCGTACTTGACACTGTACATGTGTGACACGGTTTCTTTAATGAAACATTCTATATCTTCAAAATGAAAAAAAAAAAAAAAAAAAATGATGGACTCGATAACATGGGCCCGGAATTGCTTTTTAAATGTTGTATTTTAAACTCATAACACAATCTCACGGATAGCGATTTAGATAACAGTTAAATAACGCCCCCTGGTGACGAGATCGGTAATCAATACAACGGAAGTGTCGCATTGGACAATCAGATGAAAGACACTCGTTAATTTACTTTGGATTGAATGGAAAAACAGAGGAGAATCCGTGTCTTTCAGTCTTTATGATTAGTATCTTTGATTAAGAGAGAACACACACAGCACATAGGTACTTTTCTGTTTGCTTGGTACGACTGGATGTGTCGGAAGAAAGCGCATGCGTATTGTTTACAGGTGAAAATAATCAAATATGTCTTCACAGTTGTAACAAATGAGTATCTTCAATAAAGAGAGAGAAATACAAAGCAAACAGTTTATTGCTTGTTTGGGATTCGGCAGCACCGGCCATGTCGTTGGTTGAAGTAAGCAAATTGAATAATTATTTTTATATAGAGTTTTTCAATCGAACTTACAAGATCACAAAACTGGTATGTCGGGTACCTGACGTCACAATGATATTAAAAAGGGTTCAGCGTTTTATTCGGACCTACAATGTTTCTGGTTCCGGGTGTAAGCTACGTTACAGTTAAAAAAAATCGTCAACTCTGGCAGTACAGATTTAACAGTCTCGTCGAAAAGGTTAGGTTAGTTTTCGATGAAATGTACATAAATATTTGAAAAATGAATATAAGCACAGTACCGGGCCAAAAGATAATACAACAAATCTAAACTAACTGTTGTATTGTTTGGGAAATATACAATATATATCAAGGAATGAGACATAGGGTACTGCTGTTCACCTTCAAACATAAAAACTAGCCGTTTAAATGATTTAGTTCCATGGCGCCTTATAAATCCGGGGAACTAAATAAGAATGTTCTAAATAGTAGTGAATTCGAATTATTTTGAGAAGCGATGTAAAGAGTCAAGGTCGCAATTATAAACATTTGTGACAGGAACGGACAAAGTCCTTAAAGCGAAAGGACTTGTTGGCAAATTGTTCGTTTGCCGGTCATAAATAAAAAAGACAATTCATGGTCAAGACAGAAGTATGATTGGTTTCTTTGTGCTTTACATCCTATTAACAGCTATGGTCATTTAAGGACGTGCCAGGTTATGGTGGTGGAGGAAAACAGTTTCAAACAAATCTGCTGTATACGCCATTATTGAGTATTGTTTTAGGGCTATTGTCCTTCGTCTGTCTAATCTGAATGAAATTGGTCATGTCACATCTGTTCAAAAGGGATTTGTCTATATTACTCTCCGTCTAAACCTCATTTGAAAGAAATTGTCTGTCACGTTCATTCAAAATTTTTCATTTGAAAAAGATTTTTACATGTATGCTTTGAAATGAAATTGTCAGCTACATAATTTCAATTTTCTGCAATTTTTTTTAAATTTTTTTTTGTACAGAACTTATCAACTAGGACTTTGCTGACGATATGACGTCACTGATGACAAATTATTTACGATGTTGGATCTGCAGAAAAGCATCACTGATTTCCCAAATACAAAACGTATGATTGCTTAGAAAATGACCTAAAACTTGATGGATAGGACACATGTCTAGACATAAAAAATACAGAAGCCACATAATGACGTCATCAAATTATCACCTTCAATGGGAAATTGAACTCTAACCCTGATATAACATGTACCACGTTCTCTATCTGCTGTGTTTCAATATTTCACAAGCTGATGTTTTGCGTTTATTCTAAAAGACAATAACAACAAAACAGCTTAAGTCATTTTAAGACGACATGCACAAATGATAAGACCACTTAAAAGCTCACTGAAAACATGGTTGCATGACAACCGACCCGTACACATTTTTCTGACAACAGACTTACTGACCAGAGTTGCCTTGGAGACACCATTGGTTTACAATGTAGCGCAGATTTAATGTTGGTCATTGAAAAAATACACACACGCACATACATATAGTCATCCTTCTCGGTGAAATTGTTATAGAGACCATCGATAAATATGGTCCATATAAAATACGAAACGAACTCAAAACAAAACGAAACGAAATGTCATTGATTCTGTATTCTTTGAAACGATTTAGATATTTTCCGGAACGAAGCGCAAAATTTCTGATATTACAGAAACTCACTATCAGTATTGAAATTTGTACGTCGTTTCATAGAGTACAAACTCAATGACACGGATGGTCGGGTGGTGTAGTGGATAGCGCAATCGCCTTTCAACAAGACGACCGGGGTGCATTCCCCCGATCGGACGTGAAAAGGTTAAGGGTCACCCGCCCGACCCGTGGGTTTTCTCCGGGGACTCCGGTTTCTTCCCACACTACTAAGACCTCCACGGGCTAACATCCGGACCACTCATGTCTAACGACACTTAATTATTTTGTTTCGTTTTTTTCAATATTGCCTTCTTTTCGCATTTAACATGGACCGGAAAAAACATGTTATTCAATATATCCTGTTGAAATACTTTGAAACAGATATTGCAAATGGATATTCCTTTAAAGTTTTGTTTTGTGTTTTGTTTTGTTTTGTTTTTTTGCATGAAAACACAAACTTCTGAATCAGAAGCATTTGCCATTTCTAAGGTGCTCTAAACATTAAAGTTTTCGATCAGAACTCCACAATCGTCGCTGGACGACGAGCTGAATGCCAACCACATTATGCGGTCACTGCTGTGCACTGTCACATACACAGTCACCCGTTGACTCAATGTTAAAGCGAATGTGACAGTGTGAAATGAATCAGATTACTTGATTGATTTAGGAAAACATGATTCTAAAATTCTCCGAGATGAATAATCATTAATCCCTGAGAAACAAAGAATCATATTTCCCGCCAATAGGACAATTATTTTTCAATATGCCGAAATAAAACAATAACACAATAGTGCTGACGCACAAAATTCGTCAATTCTTCAGTTACTAAGATCCCGGCTGTGGTGG